TCCGCTCCATTGAGAGAAGACGCTCTGAGGTGACAAAGCTTATCCGAGATCAGGAGAAGGCTGCAGTGATTCAGGCTGAAGGACACATGGAGAGACTGAAGCAGGATATTGATGAACTGAAGAGGAGACACTCTGAGCTGGAGCAGCTTTCACACACAGAGGATCACATCCATTTCCTCCAGGTAACAGAACAGCTACTCTGACAATAAGAAAACCAGAGTATTCAAATGGATGCATGTTCTCATTTGTATTTCAACTAGTCTGTCATTTGTCAGATGTTAATGGTCTTGTTAATTAGATCTCCATACACATTTGTTGTGATGAAGCTATTTAATCAGACTGTGTGTCTGTAGAGGTGCCAGGGTCTTCCTGTTGTCCTTGAAGCTGGATTTGGACCCAGAATCTCTGTCTATCCACGCTGCTCTTTTGAGAACATGAGGAAGATGGTTTTTGAACTGAACAATCAACTGGAAATTAGTTGGGAAAAGAAAATGGATGATATCCATCTCACAGGTTAATGAATCAATACATTTTCTTGTCTGTTCATGTTAATATAGACCATGCAGAGGGAGTATGCAATACAGTCAGGCTCACATTTGTTTGATCAGGTCAGTTTCTGTTTCCAATAAGACTAAATATTTGTGAAGAAAATGATGAAAGAGCTTTACATTCGACAGGCTGCAAAACCCAGATTACAGGAATCATGTTTCTTCTGCATTACAGAATCCAAAACTCAGTATTATAAGTAACTTACAATGATTTGCAGTTTGTTAAAATGCCTGTTATTGTCCCTCATAATGATAATAATCTACTGCTGGTGTCTCCACAGTGAGTGACGTCCATCTCCCACAAGTAAATTCCTTTTACTCACATCCCTGTTTCTCTCTCTCCTCCTAGTTACCAAAGACACCATCCTTCCGGTATTAGTGTCCAGGCCCAGAGCTGATTTCTTACAATGTGAGTCTGTTCACACACACGCTTCTCTCTCCCTGTATGAGGTGGAGTGTGTTTTATTGTCTTTCGTTTTCTTCTGCTAGGGGAGCTTCTCTTTCTCTCTCCCTCTGCCTCCTTTCACATTTACAGTACATGAGCTGTTTATGTCAGTAGCCTTTAGATCCAATTGCAAAGCAAGGCAAGTTCATTCAGGGCGCTTTTCCACTGCACCAGGTATGGTACTTTCGGTACTTCACCTTTTCCAGTGACTTCCAGTGGAGTACCAGTACCAAAAGTTCCTGCGCCCAAAGTACGATTGCAGCTGAGGTTCATTTTTGGTACTTCAGAAGTTTGGCTTGGGACTTCATTGTTCATTGTCGATTTAAAATACATTTTAAAAAGCCTTCACTCACAAGCTACATGTGGCTCTTTGACCACCTGGCTACAGCTCTTCTCAGAATGATAGATGCATTTACATTTTCATCCATCCATCCATTATCATAACCGCTGAATCCCAACCAGGGTCAAGGGGAGACCTGGAACCTATCCCAGGAACAATGTCAGCAGCCGTAGTCTCCCCCAAACTGGCTGTGACACCGAGCGTCTCCCAGTGTTGCCAAATTAGTGATTTTATCGCTATATTTAGCAAGTTTTTAGACCCCTCTAGCGACTTGTTTTGAAAAAAGCTACTAGCGACAAATCTAGCGACTTTTTCTGGTGTTATTAGAGACTTTTGGAGACTCTGACGTGGAAGCACGTATCGTTCTTACTCTTCTCACCGAGCAGCGGATGCTGCCGTGTAGTGGTGGGCGGATCGATCCAAGTATTGATAATATCGATAATAATGTTGGTATTGATATTGATCGATACCAGTTTAATGAGATCGATACTTCAGTTTCAATCTCTCTCCCGAATGCACTGCGGCTGTCCCAAATGCCGCTCCCGGCTGTCACGTGACTCAGCGGCGCCAGGCTAGCAAACAGGCGCAGGCACATGCACACACACACACACACACACACTATAATATTTATAATAAAGTACAGTGGTACCTCGGTTCTCGAACTTAATCTGTTCCGGACTCCGGATCAAATCCTAAAAAGTTCGAGTTCTGATCGAATCTTTCCCATAATAAAAATGGAAAACCAATTAATTGGTTCCCGGTAGTGATGTTAAGCTTGACACCGAAGCTCCGAGACATGTGTCCAAAAAAAATGATACAGTGCGCTCTGAAGCAGAATTTCGATGCTTCTTCCGTTCTACCCTAAACACGCGACCATGGTGATCCGAAGCTTCGTTCTGTGCTCAACCACGTGACTGCTTCAGAAAAGTGAAAATGAGGCGCGAACCTCAGTGACCCCAATATACCACATACTGAAGACCCTTTGAGGTTCTGGGATATGCAACAGGCTGTGTATCCACACTTATACGAACTTGCAGTACAGTTTTTATGCACTCCAGCGTCCTCCGTTCCATGTGAGCGGGTATTCTCCAAAGCAGGAGAAGTGGTGAATAAAAAACGTAACCA